TCAGTCATCACGGCCCTCTCACCCCAGTCAGCACGGCCCTCTCCTCAGTCATCACGGCCCTCTCACCCCAGTCAGCACAGCCCTCGCCCCAGTCAGCATGGCCCTCATCCCAGTCATCATGTCCTTACCTCAGTCAGTACCACCTTTGTCTCAGTCAGCAAAGCCCTTACTTCAGTTTGCCCAGCCCTCACCTCAGTCATCACGGCCCTCTCACCCCAGTCAGCACGGCCCTCACTTCAGTCATCACGGCCCTCTCACCCCAGTCAGCATGGCCCTCGCCCCAGTCATCATGTCCTTACCTCAGTCAGTACCACCTTCGTCTCAGTCAGCAAAGCGCTTACTTCAGTTTGCCCAGCCCTTACCTCAACAGCACACCCTCACCTCAGTCAACAGGATCCTCAATTTAGTCAGCACAGTGCAACATCCTCGTCACTACCTAGCCTCTACCCTCACCGGTCAGTACCTACCTTTGGAATGGTCTCACCATGGGAAGGGATCTGCACAGACGGAATCAGCTCTGTGATGCACTGCCCAATAACCTCCTCTCCAGACGTGTAGCCGTAGAGATGTGCAAAGAGACTGTCGCATGATGTGATGGTTCCCTTAAAGAGAAGTCGGTGGATACATATCAGTTAAGTCCTCACTCATCCTGTACAGCTCTGAGCTAGAAGGGAGTTCACAAACACTCTATCTCTGAGCCCTGAGACAGTGTGTGGTAGTGTGGGCTAACAATGGGCAAACAGTCAGATACCCACAGACTCAGGGCAGCTCTGTGCCCTCCTGGACAGGTGTCCCAGGGAGCAACAAGGACCACGTACCATCTTGGCACCACGGTACCTCAGGCCAGGCCGCCTTGTAGGGGACAATGAACACTCCACCCTCAGGAAGCCTTGACTCCCAGCTGTAACAGCTGCAAGGTACTCCCATTGTCCATACTGGCCCAGCTCTGCAGAAGCCTAAACCTGCCCCTTAGAGCCAGAAGTGTCAGGATGGAGAGGGAGGTGGGGCCTCAACACTCATTCTCTCAATTTACTATTGGAAAGCAAGGAAAAACTTAAGTGCAACTCTAAGTACAGATTGACTTAAGCACATATTTCAAAGCGTGGATGTTACAATGTAAGTGAACTTTAAAAACATGATGTCAACCACAACAAGATAAAGGTAAATAATCCAATAGAAAAATGGGCACAGGATATGAACAGACACTTCACCAAGGAAGACATTTAGATGGCCAACAAGCACATGAAGAAATGTTCAAAATCCCCAGCTCTAAGAGAGATGAAAAGCAAAACAACTATGAGATACCATCTCACCCCAGTAAGACTAGCAAAATTTAACAGAACAGCAAGCAACAAACGCTATCAAGGTTGTGGAGAAACTGGCACCCTTATTCACTGTTGGTGGAAGTGTAAAATGATGCAACCACTGTGGAAGGCGGTATGGTGTTTTCTCAAAAAGTTGCAAATAGAGATACCATTTGACCCAGCAATTCCAATACTGGGAATATACCCTAAAGAGACCGTAACCAACATCCAAGCAGATATATATGCACACCCATGTTTATTGCGGCTTGGTTCACAATAGCAAGGAGTTGGAAACAACCCAGGTGCCCATCAACAAACAAATGGATAGAGGAGCTGTGGTATATTCACACAATGGAATACTACGCTGCGCTGAAAAACAAGGAACTCATGCAATATTGTTCAAAATGGGTGACCCTGGAGGACATTATGGGGAGTGAAATATCTCAGTCATAAAAGGACAAATACAGCATGGTGCCAATGTTGTAGAATGAGACTGAGATCAGGGTTGGGGTAAGACTGAGAAAAACTGGATAAATTATGTATACTGCATTGAAACAGATGACGGAGAGAACAATTTAAAAGCAATATATGATAGGGTATTATGGTTATCACAAGACTCCAGAATTAAGGTTGCATAGTGGAGTGTACTTGGGGTGGTGGGGAGGGTCTGGTGGGATTGTAATGAAAGAATTTTTCTTTTACTTTTCAAAGAGAAGAGCGAACTGAGGGGAAGGGGTGGGCAGGAAGAAAACTGAAACAAAGAATTAATGGAAATTCAAAATCTCTGTAAATGTTCATTAAAATTAATAAAATAAAATTTAAAAACAAAACATGATGTCAGTGGAAGTCAGACCCAGAAGGACAAACACTGTCAGGGCCAATGATGGAAACATCTAGAACAGGAAAGGCAGCAGCTGAAAGGGCCTGGAGACTGGTATGGGCAGGGTGGAGGGCAGGGCTTATGAGGCCTATGGGCAGTTTCTATGGGGTGACGAGAAGCTTGGAAGCATACAGCAGTGACTGCCACACAACGCTGTGAATGTGAAGGATGCCACTGGTTTGTCCACGTGAAAATGGCTCACGTGCCACGCTTCATATTGCCTGCACTCTACTGCAATTTGGAAGAAAAAGTACATACATACTGAGCAGATGGGTAGGAAAGGGATGTGGCAGGCATACTGACGTTGGGGAGGAAACCCAGGCCCGGGAGATCTGCCCTCTTGGCTCAGTACAGTAAGTATGACCCATCCCTCCCTGAGACGCCAGAAGTCAGGCTGGCCCAAGCACTATGCACACTCACATCACGCAGGAAGGAGACACAGGCTGAGACCCTCTCTACAGGCTCCAGCACCACCACACAACAGTGGCGGGACCCCTGCCGGATTCGCTTCATCCACACGGAGACTGGGATCTTCTCTCCACTGCGGCTAATGATTTCCACCTGTGGGAACCAACGGACTGGCATGCAGGTGGCACTGGAATGTAGAGCACAGACATACAGGCCAGAGCACTAGAGGGACCCAGGGATCCAACAGACACGAAGTATTCTTGGGACATGAGGGATCCTCAGGACATGGGGTAGCTTCAGGCAGAGAGGACCCTTAAGACATGGGGGACCCTAGGGACATGGAGTTGGGGGTGTCCTCAGGATACAAGAGGCTCTCAGGATGTGGAGCAGCCTCAAGGCACAGAGGACCACAGAGCAAGGAAAAGCAACTGCTATCCTCCACGAGCTGATACCAACATACACTGCCTTTGATTTTCCTTCTGGGTAACACGTCTTGAAGTTTTTTTCTGACATAAGCCACACTACCTCACTGCAGGAGTCCCCGGGCACCTCACTGCAGGAGTCCCCGGGCACCTCACTGCAGGAGTCCCCAGGCACCTCACTGCAGGAGTCCCTGGGTGTCACATACAGTTGGCATATTCGGCTAATTGAAAGGCTGGAACATTGAGCACCTCAGAAGCAAGGCCTGGCGATCTACTTGTCAAAGAGCAGACACTGACACCTTGAGGGGCAGCGTGGCTCTGACCACGGTGGATCCCATGCATCGTGGTGGTCTGAAATGGGTTTCTAAGCTCTTCCAGTGCCTGCAGCTCAAGTCAGCTCTGCCCATGAGGGTCCTCGGACGTGCCATCACAACTGTCCAGGAGGGTCGCAGTAGTCCCACTGACAGACTCAAGAAAGTCAATCTGAGCATTCAGACATCAGAACAGTGGCACAGGGTCCCACGTTCATGAACTCAGGTGTGTGCTCACAGGTTTGTCAACAGGCAGGGTTCACAGCCACAACTCTCACTCCTCTGCCTGGAATTCTGTGCTCACCAGGCTTCTGACCATCCCTGCAATATTCTGGCCACATGATAATGGGCCTGGCACCACCGGGACAGCTGGGGTGATTGGTGGAGCCCAGACCTAAACAACAGCAGCCGGAAGCCAGGCTCCTGGTGGAACTTGGCAGTCCTGCTTGGGGCCCTGTGCCCACAGCCCACTCACCACTGTCCCAAACACCACAGCTGCGCAGCCATCAGCTTCCACTTGCTCCTCGCTGAGGGCTCCCAGCACGTCTGAGTCCGACTTCAGGAAGAGATGTTTAAGTTCCTGGCCAATCAGGTCATGGCTGCTGTACCCCAGGAGCTCACAGGCCTTGTCATTAGCAACCAGGACCTGCAGTGCCACAGAGGAGGGGCGAGGGCATCAGGGACAGCTGCTGCAATCTCTGAGCCTGAGCCCCGGATGCTGGGAGAACACGGGGCCAGCAGGGGACTGGCCTCCCACATCCAGCCCGGGCTCAGCACTTCCAATGGTCTGAAGGCCATTCAATTGGAGCACGTGTCCAAGGCCAGGGCGACAGCATCAGGACTGGAACTAGAGCCCCCACCCGAAGCAAAGCAGATACCACAATGCTGTGGAGATCAGAGCCTGGGATCTGCACTCTCTCTGTGGAGTGACCTCAGGCGTTTGTCCCAATACCTGCCAGGCATGAACACCTACCTCAAACCCAGTGGTCCTTTCTGTCCAACAAGCCAGAGGGAGCAACTGACCTCAGCCCTTCCCTGGTATCTGTCTGACAAGACAGCACCCCTTTCCCACCCATCTGTAACTCAGGCTCCTTGAAGTCCACTTCCTCAGTGATCATCCAGGCAAAGTTGGAGAGCCTTCTAATAGCACTGGAGGCCAAAATGCCTTTGGGGGGCCCACCTCCACGCCATTAGGTCACCTGCACGCACCTCAGTGGTCTTGGCATCCACTGTGAAAATGGCCTTGTTGGGGTTGCCCATGGGGGCCGGGAGCAGGGGTGCAGACAGGCCTGAGGGCAGGCCCCGCAGCAGCGAGCAGCAGGATGTGCTCCCCAGTGAGCCAGTGGCATCAGCGAGCTCTGGAAGCCCCACGCCTGGCAGCGGGCTGGCACAGATGTTCTGGGCAGCCAGTGACGACAGGCAGTAGGAGCTCCACCGGTCCTCTGGGGAAGGGACAGCCAGGTCAGTCTCACAGTGCACCACAGCCTTACTCCCAGCACCCACAGCCAGCAGGTCACCCTCATCAGCAGGGCAGACCACATCCAAGCTGTTTACTAAGACAGGAGTAGAATAACTGTCACTCTTCCCAGAAGACTTGAGATGGATATTGCCGTGTCCTTCCCTTCGGCCCTCCACAGTCTCTCCAGGACAGCCCCCTACTTGTTCCCTGGACATGTCTGTAATTCCACATCACGTCATCACTCAATCTAGAAGCTAAGCTGCAGACTCTGAGCTTGCTGGTCAGTTCAGTCCTCACCCTACACCCAGTGCCTTCCCTGATATGTCGTGGCTGCCCTGCCTGTAGCCTCCAGGGCTTGCTGCGGCTCTCTGGGTTTTCAGCCTGTCAATCTCAGGGCATCTGCAGCTGCTGCCGCCCCTTCCTGGGGATGCACAAGGACAACCTCAATACCACTTTCCCAGCCACACGGCCTTGAGTAGGACCCCAGTTATCCCTTCCTGAAGGTCCTTGACGTGAATCACCCTCCAAGGTTATGTGTGTGCATGTGGACATAGGAGAGAACCCATGTGCACATACACGAGTGTGTACACAGGTGTGTGTGCATGCACAGATATAAGTGTGCTCTCTACATGGAATGCATAGGAATGTGTGCATGTGAATGGGTGTCCACATGTGTATGCTCCCAAGGGTACGTGTGTAGATACGAGCACAGGAACGTATGCAGGTAAGCTGCTTGCATGTGTGCATGGACGCACTGTGTGAACTTGCACAGATGTGCAATTCCACTGCCTCCTATGCCCCCGAGACACAGACGACACTGAGGGAAAGGATCACTATGCATTCTCAGGTGTACAGCAGGTACTCGGTCAGGGAGCAGAAGCTGTGAGGCAACGGGGAAGGAGAGTGGAAGGAGTCATGGTCATGGTCAGGGCAAGTGAGCCAGGCAGGGCTGGCAGGGCGACACTGCACTGTGATTCAGGCTGCTGGAATCTCGCTCCCCCCACTCCCCCGGGCTCCCAATCACACGCTGGGGGCTGCTATCCCTTCCCATAGGCCTTCACAGGCTCTGGACATGCACACACATCAATACACTCCCCCCACATGCATGCAGGTGTGCACACCCCCCACCCGGTCAGGCACACGCACGCAGAGATACACACTTGCAAGTGTATACATGTGGTAGACACATGCCTATACATACATCACACATGCAAACATATACACTATATATATGTGTGTACTGACATATAGATGATAAGGATACACATGCACACAGGTACGTGTGTGTGCAGACATTGTGGGCACACACATGCATGCCTTCATACACTGATACACATGCATGAGGTGTCTACATGCATGCACACATATGCATATGCACACAGTCACCCTAACGTCCAGCATGGCACTCCCAGTCCCCTAAAGCTCCCTGGGGTCTTCGGGCAAGTGGTGGCCAAGGGCTTCTCATCAGCTGTGGGCCCCCCAGGTAGAGCGGCACCTGCAGCCTGGGCCTTAGGGGGCTAGGCGAGCCTAGGAGAGGTCAGTGTGCAGGCTCCTGTCCTCACATCCTAGGGGAGACAACCCGTCCCGTGGAGGCTGCTGTGCTCATGGTTCCCTCATGTCACTGGGCTCTGAGTCTGTGTGACACAGCCTTGGCCAGGCAGGAAGGGCACATTCTATGCAAGAAACAGTCTATGTTCTGACTTGGCCTTGAACTGCAGTGGGCATTCCAGCCATGGCCTCAAAGCGGGTGACTAGTCCAGCATCCCAGCAAGCAGAGAGACTGCAGGGCAGATCCATGGAGCAGAAAAGATCCTGCTCGGGGAGAAAGGGTCAGTGTCTCGGCCACATTTGCAGAAGGCAAGCTGTCCAGAAGGGCCCAAGCACACATTACCAGAGAGCACCACCCTGCTGTGGCAGAGCTTGGAGAGCCCACGTTTCCGACTCAGGTGGCGAGGGGCAGAGGAGAAGGACTTGCTGGGGGTTGGCACACCCTGTCCAGCCGGGCTCTCCATCGGGACCGGCAAGCAGGGGCCCCCCGACAGGCTCCTCCGTTCATCCTCCATCACATCGGCCTCCACAAGGTGTCAGCTGGAAAACAGAAGGACCTTTGTCAGCACCAGCTTCCCATGGATGTGGAGGTGGTCCACCTACCCAGTGATTCATGATGCCCTGCTAGGGTTAGCACCTCAACCACGGCCCCCTGCTAGGCAACCTGGGCTAGGACACAGAGGGCAGATCGAGGTCACACTAGAAGATGCTCTTGCAGAGAGGAGCAGGGAGGGAGGGAAAGAGTGATATTCAACTAAACCAGCAAAAGTATGTCAGGGCAGTATCCTCTCCATACCTATTCAATCTGTATGCTGAGAAAATTATTTAAGAAGCTGGACTCTAGAAAGAACGTGGCATCCAGATCGGAAGGAGACTCATCAATAAACTATGCGATGCAGATGACAAACCTTGCTTGCTGAAAGTGAGGACTTGAAACACTTGTTACAGAAGATCAAAAAAATACAGCCCTCAACGTGGGTGCATCTCAACATCAAGAAAATAAAAATGCTTACCACTGGACCAATAGGTAACATCATGATAAATGGAAAAAAGATTGAAATTGTCAACAACTTCATCTTACTTGGATCTAAAATCAACACCCTTGGTAGCAGCAGTGAGGAAATCAGGAGGCATATTGCACTGGGAAACTCTGAAGTCAGGGCCTCTCCAAATTATTGAGGAGTAATGACGTCAGTTTAAGGGCTAAGGTGATCCTGATTTAGGCCATGGTCTTTCCAATCACTTGCTGTGCATGTGAGAGCTGGACAATGAATAAGGATGACAGAAGGATTAGTGCTCAACTTTGAGCTGTGGTGTTAGAGAAGAGCACTAAACGTCACATGGACGGCCAAAAGAACAAACAAATATGTCTTGGAGAAAGTGCAGCCAGAGTGCTCCTGGCAGGCAAAGCTGATAAAGCGTCAGCTCACATACCTGAGGCATGTGCTATTAGGGGCTATTTCCTGGAAAGAGACTTGATGCTCAGAAAGGCAGAGGTCAGCGAAGGAAAGGAAGATCCTCAACCAAGTGGACCAACAGAAGGTGTGAGGATGGCGCAGGAGAGGACAGGGTCACACTCGACTCGAGGGTGTTGAACAATAACCAATGCCCAACGATGATGCTGTGTGTCAACCGAAACCCACCCTCCTTGAGTGGGTGCTGGCTACGAGTGACCTGCAGGGTAGAGCACCGCTGCCCGCAGGGCTCCAGGGCTGCTGCCTTGACCACAGCAGACTGCTCTCCTTCTCCCAGGGAGGAGCTGGTGAGTTCAAACCCCTGACTTTTTAGTTAGCTCTCAAACGGCTTTGCCTGCAGCACCACTAATATTCAAATAATTGACACAATTTTTCTAAAAGGACTGTAACAATCAATCATCTGAAGATTGGTGGTACTGTGGTACATCCAGCTGTTGGTGATTTCTCCAAACTGAGAAAAAGCAATGATGTCAGTTTAAAAACTTAGGTGTGCCCAATCCAAGATATAGTCTTCTCAATGACTTGCCGTGCATCCGAGAGCTGGACAGTGAATACAGATGACAGAAGAAGAATCCATGCCTCTGAGTTGTAGTGTTCAAGAAGAATACTAACTATCCTATGGACTACCAAAAGAACAAACAAGTCTGCCTTAAATAAAGTGTAACCAGGATGCTTCTTAGAAACAAGGATGATAAAGCTTCCTCATACATACTTGAAACATGTTGTTAGGCACACGTCCTTGGAAAAGGATATCTATCATGCTTGGAAAGGTGAAGTGCCAATGTAAGAGAGGAAGCCCCTCAACCAGATGGACTTGCACACTGACTGCAGCAATCAGCTCAAGTGTGTCAGAGATTGTGAGGACGGCACAGGACAAGACA